CCATTTAGCTAATTAAAAAAAATTACCTCCAGCATAAAGGGACTTCCTATTTTTCACTTGAATGTTTTTTTTTTTTACAGAGAATGCCAACATGTTTATGTACTGTACAGAGGTATGAGTATTCAATTCCCCAAATTTCCATATTTTGTTGAAAATTTCTACAAAATATGGAACTTGAAATGTATTGGTCAGTTTAAATTGGGAGACAAATTTTATTTTCATGTAAATATGGTGAGTATTTTGTACATGAAATACCAATTAAAAATTATGTAATGTAAGTCTAAAGGAAAATGAGACTTGATTTGAGGACATTTTGACTTAGGGACACTCTTGATGCACCAATTACGTCCGCATATTGTGGTCTCACTGAATTTTTAAAAAGGTTGCCCAAAAAATTTTACCAGGGCGTATTCTTGACAGGGTCTTATTTTTTCGTTTGGGAAATACAGTATCACTTCCGCGTTTGTTAACGGCGTTTGCGCTATCAAGTCGAAGAATCCGTTATTTTCACAGTTGGGAATCAAGTAATTTTGCCCAGTCACTTAGAACGGTTGTCCTGTCGAGCTTCTGAGTCAGCTGTAATGGATATTTTCGATAAACTGGGGCTTCGAAAATCCATTAATGGAGCGATCTGGGGCTTGATGAAAAGCTTCTTTCTCTTTTGGCTCGCTGGAAATTGCGTGTTTTGGATCAATGCGTCTTCTTTAGTTCCATTGAGTTCCGTCACGATCGCAGCTCTTCATATTTCTTCAGGTTGCGTCTGCTTCGTCTGTGGTATATGAAGTGACCCACTGGCTGGAAAATAAATACGAATCTGCGGGGTAAAACACATCTTGGGAGATGAGATACGTAGAGATATTTTTAGTTCACGCATAAATATATACTGTAAGTGAATTAACTTACAATCCAACGTTTATTTGCATTCGGAATGTTGACAAGGAATCGGTTTCAAATTCGTGTTGGACGAAGTACCGAGTCAGTATATTAGAAAATAAACTTCGGACCTTTTTGGGTTACCGACAATTCATGAATTCCTTCCTGGTTTTTTCCAAATGAAGGATTTGTGTTTAACGATGTCCCTTTTTACGTCGTCGTACAGTGGAAGACATTTGAGGAAATGGGAGAGATTGAAGAATTTGTGGTCACTGGTGCGAAGCGTGAACCGGAAACACAGAAATCTTTCCTTAGTAGGGCAACTTGTGGAGTTTGATTTTGTTCCTTTTCTCACTGTCTACTCTGTGCATCGTGAGATGATTCGTGAGAATGTTTCGGATTGGTTGACAGTGTTTTCGAAAATCTAGAACATCTTTGTGAGCCTCTCGTTTCGAATCTCGGCATAAATTTGGGTTCAGTGGTGGCCAAAGGGAACGGCGCTAGTTATTTCTGCTGATAAATTTTAATTGTTCAAGTCAAGTCCTAGTCCAATCACAGTAATTGTGTTTTTTCTTGAAGGAGTTGGGTTATTTTACTTCGGTTTTATGATTACTGTACTTACTCTTTTTTTAAACGGTTTTTTGATGGAGATAAATTCCCCCTGAAAATTATTCTTCTCATGAAAAATTTGTTCTTTCGTGTGGAGTTGAAAATAATCAGATTCTGTTGCCCCATGAAATCGAATCGTTCAAGAAATTCTCAAGATATTTTGAATGACCATTTTAGTGAAATTCATCAATTCAGTAACTTTCTTTTCTTCATAATTTCCGATTGACGAAAAAATGTTCCGCAGTTTTTAGCAAATTGAAGAATGATTGATTTTATTATGGCTGGCATGTCTGCCAATTTTGAAACGCAGTAACTTGGAAAATAAATAACTCACGGAAAACTGAAACTGCCTGTTATAAAATTACGCGGTATACTTGGTGCTACAGTATTATGTATATTCTTTATTGATTTGACATTTCTGGATGGTTAATTCCCGTCCGAATTCTACCTTTTAACCATGCCGCCTTGCGATCAGGTTCTGGTTGTCGTTATAATACGATATCTGATTGCTTAGAACCCAGAGGCATCAAAATTCAAGGGATTTGGATTTATTTGTTGTTCATTGTCGGAGAAAATATTTTTCCACTTTTCCGCGTCGATGGAAGGCAGGAATTCCTTGTAACTTGCGATCGAGAACTTGATAAATCTAGCAAAACCTTGACGCAGTACTGTGAATAACTTATTCGACAACCGGAACGTGTTGATTTATTAGCGGCACTTCGAATTTTCCGGCTTCGATCAGCCGTGATTTCAATGAGCTCTACCAAAATCTCCTTTTAATGAGGCTCAATTTATTACCGTGTAAATCTTAGTAGAGCCACTGATTCTCAAGTTTTTCTTGCTGGCGCAAAAATAAATTTTGAGAAAATTAAATTCCGTCGTTCTTGAATTAGGTTGAATTAGAGAGCAGATTACTCAGGTGCACGATAGCATTTTTTTGAAAGCTGGCAATAGTGATGAAGTTGATGCGAGTCTGGATTGAGGCTTGTCTTAATTCTGATTCGATTTTCAAGTTTATTTCAGTCGGTTGCGTTTCTCGAAATTTAGCCAGTCGAGTAGTTTTTTCTTCACTGACTATTGGTACACGTGAGAAAAATGTTCTGCTTTTTTTTCAATTTCAGAGGTACTAGACGGTGTAGGAGGATTTCTACGAATTCAGTTCTGTTTTACCTTCGTGTCTTCAGATTTTGCACGTGTCAATATCCGCACTTAATAGTGCGGATATTGACACGTGCAAATCTTATGTTATGATGGAGACATAATTTCCAAAACTTTTTGGTATACATTATCTTGGAAGAACATTCCAGAAATTCTTTGAAGTGTGCGGTATATTCAAGTGAGAAAGTTGCGAAAGCTGATCATGTGAGTGTGCTCGAATGTGAAGCGCACTTTTACCCTCAAAGATTACCACGCTAAAGTCAGAATATGTCATCTACAGTATTCTATAGCATCTTGAGTTCGCTGTTGCATTATTGATTTTTGCAAAAATTATCTCTTGAATGAAAATTGAGTCTATTGTTGTATAAAATAAGTCCTTACGACCCTTCTACCTTCAAAGGATCAATAGTCGAGCGTCCGAATTTCTTCCGGTAGTGGGTTCATTGGTAGAATCAATGACCTCATCCCATTTTATGAATGCGAAGAATGTGAGTTTTTACATACTACTGCGAAAAATTTTTTATTGTGTGAGGCACAGAAAATAACTACGGTACTTCGCTTAATTGATGGTGTCTTGCTTGTGAGTAAACACGGCGCAACAGTTATAAAAATAATTTTTAAAATCTGCCATGAAGAGAGAAATGCGGAGAAAATTCGTTTCTTTTGTCGCGTCGCGGATCAGTTGACGGGTATCGGAGTTAGCGTTGCGTGTTGTCTTACAGTAGCTGACGCCGACTTGCGGAACAAAATGAGAAGAGAAGGAGAGAGAGAAAAAAGAGCTAGGGAAATGCGATTCTGGCCAGAGGAGAAAAGAAATTGGCGGTCGTGGGTGTGCATTTGGCGTGGCATGACGGGGCGTGAGCGTGCATTGTGCTAGTGAAGCGCACGGCGGAGAAAGCGCATCGCGGAGACGTGCCGTCGACGGGCGTGTGAAACTTTAAACTCCGTCGACGGAAACGGGGCGGGAAGAAAAGCAAGGAATCCAGAAGGAAAAAATCTGGGTGGGATTTTTTCTAAAGTTTGTGTATCTCTCTGTGAGCGTCTTGAAATCAATTTATTGTTGGGGGGGGGGGGGAGTTGACCCCACTTCCTTTCATCACTAAATATAAGGGATTAATGAAGAGACTTCAAGCAACCCATTCTTTTGCTATTTATGTTTCTGTCTAGGCAGAAAAATGGGTCGCTAACCACTTGGCATTTCACGGGTCAACATCGCAAAAATTCTCTTATGGATTTCTTTCCTTAAGTTCATCTCTCTCAATGAGACTTGGAGCGACCTGTTCTATTGCTATTCATTTTCTGCCAAGGAAAAATAAGGGTCGCTGACCACTTGAAATTTCAGGGGTCACCATTGTTGGGCGTTAATGGAACCAAGCAAAAGAATGTCTGATACAGGCATAGTAGAAAAAAAAAACGAAGTACAGGCTATCAACTTGTCTGTGACCACAAACATATATTCAAGGGGAGACCTTGAACATATGTTACTAGTTTTTCAGATAAAATCATTGCGTCATTTGATGACATATCCACCCGTCCACAAGGAACACTAAAATCACGAGACAAAAGAATAAACATTAATTTGTGCATTAATACAAACACAGATATTAAATATTTAAAGATAAAAAAGGGATAAAGAGAGAGAGAGGGAGAAATGATTATCTTACAGTGAAGGTTGTGTGAAAACTGATTTTTTTTATTCCGAATAAAAGTTTACAGTCTAGACTCTCAGAGGAAGGAAAACCTTCTCAAGGATTTTCTCAGTATATTCTCTCCTAAACAACCATCATGAAGATCGCGAAGATTTCAGATGGCTTTGTCTCTAAATTTTATGTTGATCTGTGTGCATCTTGAAATTGTGTTCTTTTAGGGGTGAAACACAATCACTCCAGGTGATTAATGACGAGACTCGAAGGAACCCGTTCTTTTGCCATTGATTTTTTTGCCTAGGAAAAATGAGTTTCTCACCACTGGATATTTTAGGGTTCACCAACACGAGGATTACGAAGAGTTGACATCGTTTTCTTCGTTGAAATTGGATTGTCAAAATACTAAAACATGGAGACTAAACATTTCTTTTGAAAATATATTATTTGGTAGCTTTTGGAGTGCCTGCAAATGTGCGAATGCGACGAGTAAATCTCGTTTTCTCGGAGTGGCGATCTTACTCACAATCCTCTCGTATTCCTCTTTCATTTGAGCGTGTGTCAACAAGAATTGAAACAATGTTTTGATAATTTTCAAATGATATCCTGTGAGAAATTGAATTCATCCATGTGTCCATGAAGGCTCGACGAGGGTAGCGAAACCCCGTGACAAACGAAAAATTTACGAAGCAACCCTCGTACCTCAGGACTCGCGCGCGCGTGTGTGTGTCTATATATATTTGTGTGGGGGTGTCTGGTTTCAGTTTTGCATTTTCCCGTTTACAGTCGGTTACGCCAAGTCAACTGCTGGTGATCACAGTGATGGTGTTGATGTTGATGATGATGATGATTCTGCTGGCTGGATGCGCGATTCTGCTGGCTTCTCGCGTGTGATTGTCGGAACAGGAATGGTGGACATCATGGCTGATGGAGTGGAAGACGGGGAATTTGTGTTGCCGTTCTGGCAGCTTCTCATTGACGATATGGGTGCGTTCAATTCGTCGAGCCCTCGCTTCATTTATTTTTTTTCTCTCCCCGCACTTTAAACCCCATTTTTAACCCAAAAAAAAAAGGTATGCGTAACCCGGCTTTAACCAGCAATTGCTTGAGCATCATGTTCATTAAACCGCCAACCATATGCACGCACTAATCGTATGCGGTTCTAACATCAATCCGCTTCTTTTTTTTTTCTTCGCGATAATTGCCTACTTTTTCCTGGTGAAATTCGGGATTTCCGCTGCAGAATTTACCAGGTGGATTCGAGGCTCAAATTGACAGTCTTGAAATTGTTCCTCGATTTTCTTTTACCCTTTCTTTCCTCATCTTCCCTCTTTTTCGAACCCTTCTTGTTCAGTATTGGCTTGAAGTCGACGCAAAAAAAACTGTTCAAGTCGTAGTCGTTGCTAATGAAAATTATAGCGATAATTCGACCTCGACTAAGCCGAGGTATTACGGTAATACAATATTTAGTACTGTAGTAAATACATATTCCAGCGTAATTTTGCGTTCACTAAACTCAAGGACAACGTGTATAACTTGGCGACCGTTCCGCAGCTGTTGCTAAATTTTCTGCTCAAAATCATGCTGCGTTATTTGAATGGATTTTTTTTTTCAATTTTCAAGCTTCTGGCGTGGTAAATGTTTCCATCTGTCACACCGCTTTCTGTACAACTGGAAGGAAATACTGTACTAGTGCTGTCATTTCGTCCAAGTTTGCTGTGTACAGGATAATTCTTCTTCCTGTTGTGGAAGTGTATCCGTGTCAGCTTTGCGAGTGTTTTACTAAGAAGGAAAGAAAGAGCAATTGGCTGATATTTCCCTGTTGGAAGGTTGAGCGACGAGGTACGATTCCTCGGGGGCTCGCTGATAATGCTGTTATTTGGCCTTGGTCTCGTATGTGCCCCCAGTCAACTCCTTGTCCGGAATCGGAGCAATTTAGACTTGTTAGAGGGCATATTTCAGCTTGTGATGTACAGTACCACCGTACTACCGTACTGTACGGAACAGGTGGACACTCTCCGCAACGATCTCGTCTACGACAATTTCTTTTGGATGCCGATTTTTTTGCTCCTTGGGGTTCTCTCCCCATGTTTTTTTGAGGTTCTCTGTAACAAAATTCTCTCGACAAGAAAAATTTTCTGGTTCCTTGAATATCGTTGTAGGGAGAGAGAGAGAGAGAGAGTCCGCCTGCAATTTGTTGTGAAACTCGGATGGATGTCAGCACGGAAAAATTTGACTGCAATGCGCTATCAGAAGAGATTGACACTTATGTGTTTAGGCAAACGAGAAAAAATTTCTCTTGAGAAAAAATCATGTTTCTTTCGAGTGCTTCAAGAATGCTGAAATTAATTGGAGACCCATTGTTCACGCTATTGTTTTTTTTCTGAAGCCTCCGATAAATTTCTGACCTTGGCACTCCTTCATAAAAAATATGTACAGTATACAATACTGTAGTGTATATAGGATCAATCTTCTTTTTAGTTTCTTGTTCAAGTTATCTGCTGGGTGGGAGGGCATGGTTGCACCAGTATGAAAATGTAATCAAGCAATCGAGGTCAAAATTCGACGAAGTAACCGCAGTAGTATCGACTCTTAAGTAAGCGCGGGAATATAACAGTGTGGCAATCGTGGAAAGACTGCAATGTCAAAAAGCGCTGATAAGAATTCATTTTGTGTTGGATATTGTTGAAAGTTTAGGTTGCATCGCATTATTTCACAGAGTTTTTTCAGAACTAGAAGCATGTGGAAATTACTGTTTATTCATTTTTGTTGACGTGGCGCCCGTTTCTGAAGAGGAGCGTTTAATTAACCGTGAGATAATTTTATATTGAGTGTTGATGCTTTATTGCGCTCTAAATCAAGTACTATATTATAAAAATAATCCTGAATTGTTATGACAGTTTACAGCCGGGGATGATGATTGTGCCATTGTTTCTTTCCGTAAACATGGCGCCCGAGCGCTTTGAACTAATTGAAAAACGCGGAACGTTCCGTGAAGATAATGTCAGAATTAGGCATACAATATGCGGTCGAAATGAAATACGCGTAGCCCAAGAAGAATATTTTCCCGTGCCTTTGTGCACTTTTTTTTTTGTGCGCTTCCCTCCTCGTTAGAAGGCGTCACGCCTGAAGGAAGTTCATGGGACACCGGCGGGGACTCCTTTTTTGCCTTGAACTGGGTCAATAATGGGAAATGGGTTATTGTTGGAACGAACAGGCTCCTTGTGCGTCGTTTTTTTTTTTTTTTTATACGCGCTTCCGCGGCCGTTAAGTGGTGTTTCCGCCTGTTCCGCTGTGGTCATGGGACCCTTTCTGGCGTTTTTTCCCATACTTACCCGCGATGACTCGGCCCGGGTCTGCATGTGAATTGCGTCCGATGAAGGGGACAACTTGAGCAGGACGACGACGACGACAAAACGGGGAAGGAACTCAATCGTAGCATTCTGATCGATAGGGTGATCTAGTTTTATAGAAAACGGCGACCTTTTCACCACAACACATGAACAGCTCGTCATTATCCATTCAACGAACGAATCGACTTCGAAAAGATTACTTTCGGTCGAGGAAACTTTCCCAATAAAACCTGTAATAATCTTCTCAAAGTTGACCTCATTCAGAGTTGCGATCAACGGCAATCTTTACAATAAAGAAAAAAGCAGCACACATTTGTCAACAGGGATGAAAGCGCGAGATATGTGAAAAAATGGCAAAATTCAGCAAATGTTTTGCAGAACAAGAACTACAGAAATCAGCAACCAAAAAAATATATATCTAACATGATTGATCTTCGAAACACCCTGCGAAAAAAAACTCGTCAGTTGAAAAAAAAAACTTGAACTCTCCCAGTTTACCGTGTTCAGAGTCGGTCATATTGCGCTTCAAACTCATCAACTGCAGAAGGCAGCTCATTAGGTAAATTACAATTCATGGAGTAAATGAGCGTACGAACTGGATTGGCAAAATCGTACGTGCAAATATAAACACCGGTGATGCCAGGCGTGAAATGTTTCATGAATTTGACACGTTTTTCTATTATAAAAAGGCGCGATTTTTTTTTACGAAGATGGGAAATCGAAAAATTTTGTAGAAATTTACCTCCCGGAAAAGTGTGGACTAGCAATGGGTTTTCGAGGATATTCTTCTTGAGGTCCAGATGGCTGCCGTGACCTTTCTCTGTCAGAGAGAAAGGTCGATTATATTCAATTTCCCTGGGTAATTGCGACTATTCGTTGATTGGGAACGTTGCGAAAGAAAGGAATGTAGGTTTCTATGTTTTCCCGAGGTGTCATTGCTGAAGTCTCGCTATTAACTTGGACGAATAGTTGACGCTAAAGCTCACTGCGTCATTCTGATTTTCGACTCTCGAAAGTAAGATTCAATTTGTGTCCGATATTTATCTGTATATTGGCTATTAACTTGCAGGAATAGTTGGCGATAAAGCCTGTGTACTTCTGATTTATGACAACTCGAAAGTAAGGTTCAAGTGGCGCTCGTTCGATCTCCGTCAATTTAGTTCCATTTACTCCGTATAATTGACGTATTGAGCTGTCTTATGTCGTTGATGTGTTTGAAGTGCATTATAACTAGTAAACTTAAAATGTGGGAAAGACTACGACGAGCTTTTTCCACTTCACGAGTTTTCTTTTCGAAAAATGTTCCGAAGATCAATTATGTGCCTTATTCGACGCATCGGGGGACAAATGGAAATGACGATTGATGCCATCACATTGTTCTGCTTGTTCGTGTTTTCTTAGTTGTTTGTTCTGCAAAATATGTGTTGAATTTTGTCTTATCCACATTTCTCACACTTTCATTCTTGTTGACTGATGTGTGCTGTTGGTTTGTGTTGTTGTAGTTAAAGATTGCGGTTGATCGTCACTATGAATGACGTTAATTTCGAGAATGTTATTACTGCTTTTATTGAGAAAGTTTCCTCGGCCGGAAGAAATATTTTCGTTCGTTGAATGGATAATGATGAGCTATGCAGTTGCAGTGGTGAAGTGAAGTGAAGTGAAGCTCGGTTTTCTTGAAATTTCCCCGGATTTTATTCTCAAAATGCATTCGTGTGGTGAAATCGCTTCATGATTGATATTATTTTGAATGTCAAAGCGCTTATTGCTAACTTTGGATCGATTTTGAAGTACCCTGATTTATCTTATTTTGAGGCTGGCGTTTTTTATGGTTATTGTTACTCACTGAGAAAAATTTTGGAGAAAGTCCACAATGAATGTTTTGATATTACTCTCATGTCAACATTTCGAAAGTACAGTACTCTGAACGGAGCGATAAAGTCGCTAAATTGAGCGAGTACCAGCTGACGATCTCTGCTCCAATTTTACGAAACTATATATATTTTTTAACGTAACTGGGTTGAAGTGTACCTCACCCCATTTTAGATGACCCGGACGGAACTTCAGTTCGAGTTTAACTGAAGAGACCTGCTGTTGCTCTGTAAATTATCACAATGGAGGGAGGAATAAAAGAAGCGAGACCGACTGACTGCATAATGGCGTCGCGCTGTTGTTGAAAGTAGTTTAAATTTTTGAGCTAGACGTATATTTTCTTCTCTTTTTTTGTTCCTCGCGCGTGATGCTTTTGAATGTTTCCCCGCATGAGGTGGAGCTTTTTCAATCGTCAACCACGCATTCAGCTTATTTTCGCGGGATGTGCGGAAGTCGTGATAAGATAGTGGTGTAAGAGGCTCGACCTAATCCCTCACGAGCGAAGAGCGTTCAAATGATACGATTTGTCCTCAGGGCATCTTTCTCTAATCTTGATCCTGTACCTTTGAATGCTGGAACATCCAACGATATGGAAAGGTATCCTATTGAATAAATTCAGCATTCTGTACTTTATTTGCGCGGAGTTGCAAGAGCTAATTGTTTTCTAAAAACAGAACTGGTATTATATTCTGGAAAATTCACTATGGCTTATTTCATGGATCGGTTTTTCATAAAATCAAATCGGAAGGTCAAGAAAATTCTGGATTAAACAAGCTTGCCAATAAACGTACTTTAAAGTTCTTTTTTTAAAGGAATAAATGGTTTTTTTTTCGTGAATATCATCAGTGACAAAAAAGGGAAGTTGTCAAAAGAAAATGATTACTAATTTTATAGGACATGTGTTTTTGCTATAATTGAAGGAAACGTTTTTTATGGTATTTTTTCTAACCATCAAATTTTCGAGGAGGGATCAGGCTTATTTTGTTTAAAATTCTAACTTTTCAAGACAAGCTCTTAATTTTAAGTTGCAGATTCGAATATAACTTTTTCGATTTTTATCTTTTCATAACCGTTTCTCTTGTTTTTTTTCGATATCAACGTGCGTTGTTCGTTTTAAAAACTTCCGCTGTTCATACAAGAATGAAGGGGCGAATATCTCGTCAAACCCTGGATCTTTGCTACCCAAACCCCGTTTTCGTGAAATGAAATGGGCTTCACCTGGTACACTGGCCAGGAATTGAGCATCCACATCGAGGATTAGTGCGTTTGTGCGAAAGGGCTTTTTCGCTAGTCGGATAATGAGCGGAGGGTTAAAAAAAAGAAAAAGAAAAAAAGAATCGAGAACGCCGGAAAAGTGTGACGAAAAGAACGTGAGGATATGCGTTGCGAAGCCCAGAATTGCGATGATGTTGCTGGTTTATTCTTCCTCACCCACTCGTTATTTGCGTGAGACGTGTTTCGCGTTACGGTTTGCTGCAGTTTTCCTACTTTCTGCGCCTTTTTTTTTTTTTTTTTTTTTTTTTTTTTTTTTGTTTTTT